GATCGGCGTGTTGGTTTTGCAGGCTGGGCAGTGGTATGCCGAGCGGAAGGATGCGCAGGAGGTCGAGGATATGCAGGGGAAGAAGGGGGCTGCTGCTTCTGGGGAGGAGGCGGAGGGAGTTAGCTCGGGGGTGAAGGCCAAGGGGGCGGCTAAGAAGAGGAATTGATTTAGTTCTGTTGGGTTTGGTGGGTGGGTGAGGTGGTGGTAGTGATGGTGGTTATGGATGGCTAGGGTGTGTGAGAGTAGTGGTTCTTTTACTTTACGGGTTTAGGGAGGTATGTGTGGCTTGGGAAGCTGGTTGATATTTGGGTCATTGTAAAAGTGCTCGCATAGTAGTTCTACTCGACTACTATCTGTCTATGTACACATACTGTCTCGTTTCACGATCGTCACGCTGTAGGGGAATCATAAGAGAATGAAAGAGCCAACGAAAACATAATTGCACTACATCACCCGCTCCGGCGCAAAGGAAAACGGACTCCGCGGGAGGTCGGGCGACCGCGGACTCAGCGCCTTGGCGAAGAGGTCCTCGCCCGAGTCGGCGCTGGACGTGCGCGCGATCGTGCTCATCGACGCGAAGCCGTTGCTGTTCTCGTCGCGGCTCTGCTGCGCCTGGATCGACTCCGGCGGGTAATGCGCCACCGTCCGGACGGGTTCCGGCGCGTCGGACCTGGGCGTCGGCTGCTGGATCGTATGGAAAGAGGTGAAGGACGATACGGCGACGTCGGGGGACATGGGGGAGAGTAGATGATTTGTGGCCGCTGTCGTTCCTGGCTGTGTTAGTGGAAATGTACTCGTGCATGGAGATAGGATGGCAACCCACCATCCGACTTGGGAGAGAGCTCGCGCTGGCCCGTCTGTAGCCGCAGGCCCTTGAGCTTTTCTCCCAGTTTGCCTCCGGTACTGGGTGAGACGGGCGTGGTCGGGCCCATGGGGTAGCGCGGGTCAGCAATACTCTGGACCGAGTTCCTCTGCGAGTCGGCAGTCGATCCGACTCCGAAATTCGTCTCGATCCATTCCTTCTCCTGCAGCGCCATGTGCAGGGCGATCCCCTCCGCGTTGGTGAGACATTCCTCCCGGATCTCCTTGTCCAGCGACTGCAATCGTTTCTTCCCCCAGATTGTGTGCAGGACGCCCTTCTTGCCGGCGGACCGCCCGTCCGCGCCCAATTCGGGCGGGAAGATGGCTGGCAGGGGGTTCAGCTGCAGGGAGTGTTTTTTGGCAGCCGACTCCGCGGTCGGGGGTTCATACGATAAGGTGACGACCGGCGGGATGGTGACATGCGGTGGGAGGAGGAAGTATACGCGCCGGGTGTGGTCGTTGGTTCGTTCGTCAGCAGGCAGCACAGCCTGCTTGCCTTCCCAGGAGACATGCCAGGCGCCGCCCGCGGAGGATCGGGTCAAATCATCGTCCTCCCACTCAATCATCAAGATCTTGGTGCCCTCATTGGCCTTTCCGGCCTCGAATTCGAAGCGAGCTAACGCCGTGATGGAGAGGCTGCCCGTCGGGACGCGGGGCGTCTCGAGGGCGGCAAACTCGCTGTCGGGGGTGAACGGCGGCGCTTGAGCCATGGTGTAATAGGAGCGATATCACAGGGGACCGGTGAAAGAAAAGCAAAAAGGGAAGTAGGTTGCCGAATCAGGAATAACACAAACTCGATTTGCAGGATGACGCTCAGACTGGCTAACAGCCGGGCTGCGAAGATGGACAAGACATCGGAGGAGGAGGTGGTGGTTTGGAGGGACGAACAAAGGGCGGGAAACGCTGGTGGATCACGGGATGGACGTCGGGTTTTAGCGCCACGGTAATTTTCCCTTGCAATGCAAAGAGTCTTATTGTTGCTGTTATTATTCGTCCTTCCAGGGAGGAATGGAGGAGAAAACCTCGTCTTAGTTGAGGGGCTGACGATCGTGGGTTCTAATTATAGTTTTATAGTCTCTTGGCACGGCGGCAGCACGACATCATTGTTGGCTTGTTTGTTGTCTACGCGCAGCCGGCATATACGCTCTTCTATACAGAGCATCCCTTGTACTTGGAGTACCATCGTGGACACGCTCACCATGATCGGTCCGGTTCTAGCCAGGAAATGAAAACAGATCATATCCATCCAACAAGAAACATGTAACGGAGAGGCCCGTCTATTCGTCTCATGTCAGCAATGTCCGCATCATAGACCGTCACGAGGCGATGAACCCACCACATCAGCTTCCGTCCATACCCGTCCACGTCATGACCTGCGGCTTGAGAATATGCCTTGAGAAAACAGGATAGAGGTCCTCCACCCCTAGATATCCACTTCCTGTGACATCTTGTCCGGAAACCCCTTCGATCGAATTCGTCACGGTAAAACCCACCTACAGGTATGATACCGTATCGTACAAAAGACCAGAATCTCCATTCACGATGATCCAACGTGGAGTCCAAGAAGCATATCACACAAAGTGAGCGGCAATCTGTGAGAGAATGCAACCATAGTCCGGGCCAAGAATGTGATGCGATCCAGAGTCAACCCCGTCCTGCAGGGGAAGTGCTTAATTTAGCATCGGCCGGGACCATCCACACGCCATATCAGTCTGGGGATCTGATACAGGAGAAACAACGACACGATCTCATTGGTATGTCCACAGGAGTTCACGGAGAGGGGAAAGAATTCATCTGCAGTGGATGTGGGAATGATGCACCCCTTATCACAAGTGCTGGCTTGCTATAGCCGCTGTGATACCGAGTTGAAGCACTTGATGAAGATGGTTGAGCCGGGAGATCTCCACCTAGGGGCTATTTGGCGTCAACAGGAGCTATTCATAGAATTAGCATGCTGACTTAGGGCTTGGAGAAAACAAACGATATGCAGGAGAACTGACCATTGCCTGGTTTCTACCATCGTCACCCGGCACTAGCCACGGAGGGGTTTGGTTGGGGGTGCCAGTCAGTTGGACCTTTTCAGGACAGTTCGATGATATTGACTTTGGTAGGCTGGGTGCAAAGTTTGAAGCTTGCACAAGACGCAATCACCCCCATTGGCCTTATGATTCCATACGGACGGGCTACGCGCATTCCAATAATCACATCTTCATCCTCATGGCCATCCGCACAGGATACATTTATTGTATATAGCATCCATCAACACCGTATCCAAATATAGCCCCTTGCTATGGGCGTTACCAAAAATATCCACCCTGGTCTACACCCACCACTAACACCCCCGGCCCTCCAGAAAACGAATCGCCCAAAATAACTTCCTTAGTCTGTGATGAAAATAGAAAGACTGCAGGGAATACACGCCCTAGTGCTGTCGGCATGTACAGGGGGTGTCTACCCCTCCCCCTCCTACGCATGGCCTTCCCCTCTTCCCCTCGGTCCCTTCGTCTTGGACATTGGTCGGTCACCGTCTGGTCGACCTTCATCACAGTCGAGGGGCATTCACATCTCGGTATTGGCTGACCAGGATGCAGTGACTCCCCGGTCAAAATTCATCACAGCGATCTGGACTAAACAGTAGCGCCGGATTGGTTGCTTATTCCAGTGGATAGAATCCTTCCATGGACGGTCGACGCGCGAAGATCCCTGTCGCCGGTTTCGATGGTTGATATCACGGCGGCAATGCAGGGTTAATTGTGTGATGATGCACCTCATTGGACGGCGTTAACCGACCCCATAAGGAAGTGCGATATTCTCATACATTCTATTGGTTGGGACAATTCTGAAGGATCCAACAAGTGGGATCGCAATTGAAAAAGCAAAAAGAAAATAGAAAAAAGAAAAGAAAGTCAAGGGACAGAGAGACCGTCCCAACATGCCGACGACAAAAATAGGAGCGTAGCGCCGACTTGCAGGTTGTTCGCCGTCGTCACATTTCCCACGTCATCCGTCGTCCCCACACATTCTCCTGCCCCGCTGCCAATCATCAACCGTTGGCGGACCGTCGGAGGGGAACGTCTCCATTCTCGCCCAAAACAGTCTAGCGCCGGCGCTTAACTGCAGGTGTCGCAGTCTTTGGTTGATTGGCTCTGATCGGACCTTTGTGGTCAACACTCAGCAAGCGCCGGTTCTCTCCAGGCATTGCCTTTGCCTCTGCCTTCCCTCAATGGTCGGGATTGACGGATTGCGGGCTGGAGATGGAAAATGATGGGCAAAAGTCAAAATGGAATGTCGTGTAGCCCCTCCGTCTTTGTTCTCTGTGAAGTTGGTACTCCCGTGTTGTTGGGACTTGGGTACGATAGGCACCGTGAGGGTCCAACATGTAGATGGTCATGCAAGTTACCTGCGGCATGATTGCGGCGCAATCTCTACAGTGTAATCGGATGAAACATCTGCTTTGAGAAGTCTTCCATGGACCAGGATCCTGAAGCCACCGTCTTCTAGCCACCCGCCGAAGAATGTAGCCCCCCTACCTGTGCATTCTGCAGAGCACATGAAACGTCCAGCGCGTCTTCTCTACCAATCAGGACCGGTAGACGGCCGGGGACGATCACGCTTGGCTTCGCGGTCGCCGATTGTGGAGAGACTCCAAAGGTTGGGTAGACTGCTGATTTGCAGGGGCGAAACATAATCAGCCACCAGAGGGTGCTTGGGATTAAGTCAACCGGCGGTTAGTTCCAGCTTCCCAGCAAGCAGAGTTTACGGGGAGTGATAGAGTAGGCTTCCTGAATCCTTTCATCACGGCTGAGTAGGGCTGGCGCCGTATCGTGTAAATTACATTCCGGTAATATTACACCTGCGGTATTCCACCAATACACCATGGACAGACGGTACCATCGAACAGAAACAACTTTGAACTACTGTCGAACCAACGTCCACTCCAACCTTCTTGACCTCCTAGCCGGTTTTCATCACACTCGAATTGGTGTGTCACTGGCCTTCGGTGGGTCTGCGCTGTATTAAGTCCCCAAGCTGCCGATTATCCTTGACCAGGGAAGCCATAGTGCATCGAGTTGGGCAACAACACGGAGAAATTCGTCCATTGCGTCGGGTGGTAGGGTAGGAACACGATAGGATGCAAGTCAGCGCGCCTGTTTCGCTGATATCGCTTCCGATTGTTCCTTTTGGCGGCTTCCCAGCACCCTCAGCCGCATGTCCCTCCGGAAGGGAAGCCCAATCGCCGCCGTTACCAGATTCCCGGGTCTCGCTGGCGTGCTTTGCTCGATCCTACCCAAGGATCTCGCCATGGGACTGGCTGCGGTAGAGCTAAACAAGTGGAAGGATGCCAGTAGTTATCGGTGCTAGACTAACACGTGTGACCACCACAGACGAGAATGAACCCGAGCGGGGCATCTGGTAAACCTATACGGCCTCATATTGGATCCGGTCTGGCGGGTCGACACTCCAACGCCAATATATCGGTATCGGGATGTCATTTGAGCTCGGGCCTCAAATTCAATTCAGTACCAGTCATCAGGTCAAAGCGGGTTTCGCCCTATTATAAACCGTCTGGCGGATATGGTTGTTCTTGGACATTAGTATGAACATCCTGTTATGCTCAACACAATTCAAAATGCATTAGGGGAGCTTCGAAGGAACTTCATGTTTGCCTGGCAGACCAAGGCCAAAGACAGTTTGTAATCGCATAATTCATGATATCATTTACATTCCCGAGGGCAAGAAGGACAAGGCCATTGGCAGCCACCAGGGCAACATGTCGATTTTCTAAGGACATAGTAGAGAAGACCCCGCATTGCAAAAAAGATCAAGGAAATCAAATTAATCATCGCTAAGCCTAAGTAAAAGCAGCTTCCTCAACACCAAACGCCGAAAGCCTGCGCTAGTGCACCTGACCGTTTCCAAAATAAACTTTCATGAGACCGGACATTAGAATTTCTAAGGCTCATTAGAGTCCTCACGCTTTCTCCGCTTTCCCTTCGGAGGGTCCTCGAGCTGTGTTCGTTTGAAGGTGATGGTGTGAGTAATGACATGCCGCACGCTGAATCTGCCGCTGGGAAGGGCGCTGTGCGGACCGTCCCAATAACGCATTCTCCAGTCCGACGGAGACGCAGAGTAAGGTGAATAGAGGGTGTGTGCACTCCTGGGAGCCTCAGTAATCGGTGAATACCTGGGAGGCGGCGGGATACGTAAAGCCCGCAGGCTCCTCGGGTCTCTTCGCACTGGAGGTGCTGTGTACGGGGTGGGTGGTGGCAGTGAAGCGGCGGCGGATCTAGACGATTCACCATTGAAGCTGAAGGTGCCGCTGACTGCACTGGTTGGGCGTGATGCGGGCTGGGACGTTGGAGAATTTGACGTGGTGGAGCGGCCTTCCCTCAGGGTGTGAATCTTGGAAAAGTCAGGCTCCCCCGTGATGGGGGATAAGATCGGCTGAAACTTCTTGAGAAACTCTGTGTATGCCGCGGGAGGTGTGATAGGTGTCGAGAGTGGTTCATCCCCCCTTCCGTTGCCTGCTGAAAGGCTGGAAGACCCTGAGTCTTCCTGGAGCTCGGATGGAAAGACCATAGTCCGGGGGGTCTGCAATGGGTGGAGAGTTGGTTTGATAGAAGGCATCTTGGGCGAAAAAGATCGACAGTTCAAGAAAGCACCAAGATATCCAGACAAGTGAGTGAATGAGCAAGGTCGACTTGAGCACAGAAGAAAAATAAAACCAAGTAACGGATGACAATGTCGACCACGCGCCTGACCTTTACACGTGCGTGGAAGTAGACAGTATAGTAGGAGTCATGCAATGGAGCAGACCATAAGAGTCAGACCACAGAGCGAGAGGGTTGGGCCGTTGTGACAGACGTTCTTGAAAGAGAAAATATTAAGGAAACCTCTTTTCTTGACCTCTCGCTGGTCCTCAGTAAAAGAAAGAGAGAAAATCAGGACGCGGAGTGAGATTTATGTTATAAAGTTGAGTTGCAAGGCAGGCGGGCGCTGCAATACAGGTAATAACGTTCACGTCGGTATCGATACAATACCGATGGCGGTAATCTTTCACCACAAGGGTCAGTGTCACGCCTTAGGCCGCAAAGGGGTTAGTGCATCGCTCTCCCCCCAAAGTGCGCGGCTGCAGTCAAGCAGTCAAGCAACAACAAGAGCAACAGCAGCTGAGCACTTCACGAATCAGAGCAGAGACTCACCCAATGGTAGGATTGGTGGCAATCCTTGGCCAGAATCAGCAGTGTCGCAGTGAAGGTGCAGAGACAACGACCGTTATGGTCAAAGCAAAGGCTTTGATCTTCAACTCTACTCCGATTCACGAAGCTCAGGGAGCTTGACAGCCAGAAGAAGGGAACAATGATCGGTAATATTTGAACCTGGAAGTGGTTTCCTATCTTCCTCTGTCGTCCTCTTTATACCTTTGCCGAGTAGTGATTGCGCTTTCTGCTCCTTAATCCAACATAGTATATCCAACAACCAACAACATACAAGAATCCTCTGGCGCCGTTTCTGCATCAAATCCCACATTGAGCACGAATCGCCATATGGGGACTACTTTGTCACCATGGGTGACAATTAATTATACTTCCTCAAATCGCCAATTTCGGGGTAATTGTCCCTTTTGGTTCGCTCGACGTTGACGCGGACCACAACACTAGAGGTTAGCGGCGGCTCGCCTTCGAAACGCAGCCTTGACGAAGTCATCGCCCAAGTGGACTGCATCATGATTTACCCTCATTTCGCGGCATACTTAGTCAAGCCGTTAGACCCTCGATACGCTGTTTATGTTAGCTTTATTGCCCGAAGGAGTGGGCTGGCGGTTACGACCCGTATTAGCGCTTCCATGACTTTTCTATGTAGCACACATGGTTGCCCCGGAGGATGTTGGAGCTTGCCCACCATACACTAACACAGGATATCCTTCAACGCCGAAGCTATAGCAGTTCTCCACTGATCCAACGGGGGTGGACTCTAGTGTCTTGCTTGGCGTTTGCTACCATGTCACACCAACTCTTGCAGAAACCTTGTGATTCGGCGATACGTACTTATTGATCTAGACTTTGTGATCACCTCTCCCATCTATCCTCCTCAGCTATGGCGGTTAGGGGATTAGTCTTGACGCCGTGAATTCCAACATCGCGAGTTTATCCATGTCTAGTTAACAGGTAGTCACCTTCATATGCAAGCTGACCAACCTTCCACGGACAGCATCCGTGCTACCATTGCGCTTTGCATCGCTACTGGTACTAGCGCATTCTTCCAACACTTTTATTTGGCGCGTTGACCTTTCCTAGCCATCTGGCAGACGCTTCCCTGTCACCCGTGTGCGAAGCAAGGGGGGAAGGCCCGGCAATATGTTGACTAAACCAGGCCATGTAGTCCAATGGGTGTGGACCGTGACCTTCTCCAAGGCCATTCTAGACGGTAGTACATGCAGTAGTTGTTGATGGAGGGACTTGTAAACTGCTCATGACCAATTCTCCCCCAATAAAACAATGGCCTAAATCTGTAGTTGGTCCTTCTTGACCTGTTGCGTTGCTTCCAACAGCTCCATCGACTACTGCTGTATGTCTCCAGACGCGGCCAAGCATTGGTAATGAATTCCCCCTCCTTCCCCCGCCAGGTGCGTCCCCCTCCATTCCATCTTTTCTCTATTTTCCTGGGTAGGTTCTTTTCCCGTCCTTTTGGCTGTCTTCATTGAACCATTTCTTGCTTTATTCCCTTTCAAAGATTTGAGAAATCCAACCATTCCCCAGGTGGCTTCATTGCAGTAGACAAAGCCCAGCAGACTTGATATCGTGAATTAGCGCGGCCATGAATGATATTTCAGGTTCAGTTAATCAAGTAACCCAGGAATATTGCAGTCTATGCCATGTAGTGAAATAATGAGTAGACTATATCACCTGCTCTTTGCTTCAAGATTTCGCATCCCGTCCGAATCCTTCTTCTCTCTAACATACTCGAGCACCCTCAGTCATGGTAAAGGATTTATGTCTGTCCGCTTAGCCACTGTGTCTCAAATGGTATCCTAGGTCGTCTTAGGACTACCTCTTAGAGAACAGATGGCCTACGGATATAACATCTCCAAGAGCAGCCGAGCCGGTTCGTCATGTTTGCCCATGCCTGAGTCTATGCCAGAGAGCCTCGAAAAAAGCATGCACAGGGTTATCAAGTAACAGTGACTCGAGTCCTATTACGGCCGTTCGGACCCTAGACCGTTTCCTTCTAGCTCCGATCGGGTATAGGTATTTTAAGTGAGTGATCCAATAGAAACTGACTTGAATAACACTGCGGTCGTTTTTGTCTAAATATGCATATTATCTGTGGATATAACGGTACCAACTCAGAGATTGGCTGATACTCGACTGTAGACATCTGTGCCCCTGTACGACTTGTAAGGCACCTCTCGGCCGCGATAACCGCTTGTACGTGGAATACGTTGGCCATGAGCAATCCCAATTTTGAAGCACTATTGGGCACAAGTAAGTTACCATGCACTTCTTTTAATCGGCTCCTTATTAAATCTGAATAGCTCTTAAGCTCCGGTCAGGCGTGGGTGCTCTGAAATGGCGTTGGGCCGGTCTTCCGACAGCGAGGAGCTGGCCCATCGCCGTCAATTCGATATGACTGGTAGGATCAATGCGTCGTTGGCTGTGAGTGGTTTCTTATAGGGTGCTCGATTCTATGGCTAACTACAAGTGTTGTCTCAGGAGCCCCATGAGGAGAGATTATGAAGAGATTCTTGCATGCCTACATACTAAACTATCAAGCCCCCAAGGCGGCTCTCTTCGTGAAGTGGACACCGTGATCAGGTACAAGGAGCTTTGGCAGTGTCTCTATTGGGTCTTCGGAACGTCAGTTCCGGTCCAGAACCAGGGCTCAATGTATACTCTGGGAGAAACAGAACTACTAGCCTATATGGGTAAGTTGTGCCCATAACGATTTGTATACGCTAATCTGTAACTGTTGATTAGCTATGGTATCCTTGGGAGTCTAACGATCAAGACAACGATGCTACCGCCTGTTTTTTAGCATGGTTATTTGAGCTTCTTAGCGGGGTCTAATCTGGATCAACAGCAGGAAGTTATTCTATGCTTGGTAAGCTGGCCTTCGAATACCAGATGCATGATAAATGGGAACACCTTCCCCAAGGGGGCAGGAAGCTGACACCCGTGCGAGCAATGCGAGGAAAAGGCATGCAGATAGAATGCATAGTGCCTTCTTCCTCAATTGCAATGAATGTTCGATCAAAAAGGGGTTCACCAAAGCCGGCGGTCGAGCAATTGAGGTAGGGGAAATAGGGTAAAACTCGCTCGTCATTCTTCTCTGTAAAATAGCGCATGGCTATAGGGATATCTATTCGAGAGGGACTTTGTTGTGAGTGTATAAATCTAAAATTGACAAGCTCTATGATGGACGAGAGCAAAAAGCTTCGAAAGACTAACGTTTCATCTGTTTCAGACGCCTGAACAAACATGCCTTCCCCCAACCTCCATCCTGCAACAGCCTATACGGGCAGGTGAATTATAAAGGCCTGAAGTTTCTCGGAGATGCTATTACCAGATGTCCCATTTGCTTTCAGAACAAAGTTAAAACATCTTCTATAAGACCCACTGCAGCCAACTATCCCGCTTCCGAGCCATCCCACACAGCCACGACGGATCTCATGTAATCTTTTATCCATTCTTCTCGAGCATCTAAGAATGGCAGAAGAGTTTATCTCAGCACCGGATCCAAAGCCTAAATCTTGGTCTGCTGCATTTCCGCGAGCTCATAATACCTCCGTCTGCTAGTCACAAACAGTCGACAATGGAGATCAGTAAGGGCAACTCAACCTCCCGAATACTCCTATTACATACGATCAAGCCTGGTTAAAGTATTATTTTCGAGAGATTTCTGCTTTGGGTACGATGTTCATGTCGAACTTTCGCATATCCCCAGACCGATGAAAAGCCAGAGCGAACTATCCAAGCAATCAGAATAATGATGCTTCCTGGAATGATATAGCAAAAGTCCTGGACGTCTATGATACCTTCGAAACGCTAATGGAGCTCCGATATATGAAGGTGTCGAGGAGCTTCGCAGGAGGGCTGTAGACCTCACAGTTTGGTGAGGTCGACCTGGCGACCCACGGCTGTCACAGCAATTGACCGAACGACTTTACAAGTGTACTTGGAAGCTGAAGATGTGTCAAGGTTTATTAAGAATAATTATCCAAAAAGGCAGGAATGGACACAACTGTGTCGAGGAAATTCTTGCGACAAAAGAAGCATCGCTTTGATGTCCACGGCCGCATTCGAGGAACATGAGTATAGAGGATGTCATGCGCAATTCACAAACAGAGAGAGAAATGCCAGGGCAAATTAGCGGCCGAGAGTAAACAAGCGAGGACATTGGTGTAAGGATGAAGGATTTCGCGCTCATCATTGACATACACAGAGACATGTCCGTTTCAGATAGTGTGACTGGCATTGAACTGCTGCTACGCACATGTGGCATAACACCTGCACAAGGACTCAAAAGGCTGGTCAGCACAGTGTTCTACCACGGCAACTTGAAACTATAAGGCGTTCCGAATGACAGAAATATACACCAGCCGTGAATAAAGGGATTCGATATCGCGA